AAATACCCAAAAAGAAGTTTGTAAAAAAATGAATCCGCCTCAACAATATAGAACTTATCTACAACTTAATTCTTACTTCCGCCAATTCAAGTAATTTATCCAGTTAAATTTTCTTCTTCTTATTCTTTCTTTCCAATATGGATACATATTAGTAGGCCGTTACCTGTTCATTGCCAACACGTCCTGCCCGGAGGAGGAGGTCCATCATTCTCTCCAGCGCTTTGGTAGTCTTCTCTGCGGTCTCCTTCCCAGTGGATTGTTAATTTTTGCGTTTTTGACTAGTCTGTTGTCCTCCATTTTTTCTACATGTTTGTTCCAGAATCTTCTTCTCCCTCTCACCCATCTTCCTATGTTCTGTATCCCGCATTGCATTCTGATGTCCTCACTTCGTACTCGACACAAAAAAGAAACATTTTCTCATCGAAAAAATGATCATAATGCTTACCTAAAATGATTTTGTAGCAAACATCACCCCAGTTCTCCTGCCCAGAGATGCCACACATGACTATCTAGGAAACACGACTTTGGTGACTGGTTGGGGCAGACCTTCGGATAGTATTAATGCAATTTCTCCTGTCCTGAGAGAAGTCACTTCGTGGGTCATCAGTAATTATGCCTGCCGAATGGCATATTTAGGCACTGTCCAGGACAGTCATATTTGCATTTCTGGAGCTCATGGAAGAGGAACTTGTCAGGGCGATTCTGGTGGTCCCTTGGTTATTAATGGAGCACTGGTAAGTTGGAGACTTCAACAAATGTAACAAGAGAATGGAACTGAAATGTTATTTTTCCAGATTGGAGTCGTCTCGTTTGGAAGCGCCTTTGGCTGTGAGGTGGGTTGGCCCTCGGCAATGGCCAGAGTCACTTCCTATTTGGACTGGATTAGTCAAAACCAAGCTCCAGCATAATTGTTGATGAGTTAAAAATACTAAATCACTTCATCACTTTATGCTGTAAAAGTATGCATATTAATGGGCACAGTATATATTTGTCCTAGAAAGTATATATTTTTTATATCCTGGAAAATATAGATAATTGTCCCCTTGAAAAAATAAAGATAGCATAAAATATTCAGTATTCATTCATTGTCTTCTAAGTTTTTTATTTAATTGTATGTATTTTGCAGCCCAAGAATGCAGAAATTAATAATTAGCGGGTTTGCTATTTTGGTAATCAATAATGATATCCGAAAGATTAATATACTCAAGTTAAAGTGTCGTTTTCATGGTCAGACACTTGAAGTGTATCATTTATATCAGTAAGTACCAGATGTATGAACAGCTCGAAAATTTCACTGAATTTTAGTTCTATAGATGCAGTCATAAACAATGAACGGTGTGGTCAAATTATGTTCTCCATGCGGAATAGTTCTTCTGCTGGTAGGTAATATTTAAGATAATGGGCTAATGGTGAAATTATTTAAATTGATGTAACTTTCACAACAGTTGAAATATTAGAATTTTTTAGCAAAGCATTAGCAGCAAAATTGGTGTTACTTTTAGGTGTTAAGGTATAGGACAAATCGCAATCAGAAGAAGGCAATTAAAAATCGATATAAATAAAATACAAACACGGCGAAAATTTTAAAAGACTTTGCTCAAAACTTGCATTGGTTAGAGAGCATTGGTTAGAGAGTTAGAATCTAGAGCATCTTGAAATTTTTGAAACAACAATTTGAAACTAATAAGCAAATTTACTACAAATCGTCCAGTAACTTGCTACGTTACTTATTAAAACCGACAAAAAGAAACAAAACGTTGCTTATTGCAAAATTTAAATCATAAAATTAATACCATCCCGTTTAGCTTGCAATAACAGAAACAGACTTGCACTTCCCTGCCTGAATGTTTGGAGCAATTGTAATTTTCAAATCACATCAAAATATGGTTTATTGCCACAGAAAAATTCACAAATTATATGGGCAAAGCGAGCAAAAAAAATAAAATACTACAACATATAATACATACAGTCCAGTTGGTTGTTCTTTTATATTATATGTGATATGTTTTGCATTAGTCATTCGCTTTATCCACAAAATACATTTCAAATTTTTTGTGTCAATAGCGCATATTTTGATTTGATTTGACAAATTTCTACTGGGAGATTCAATATTGGCGCCTTGCCTTTTCAAAAATTAATAGCGTTCACTTGGGTAGGATGCAAAAGTTTTTTGGATAATGTTTGCCTATTTTTCGAAGAGATTAAAGATGCACGTTCAATCGTCATGGAAAATAATGTCTTCCTGAGATTTCGTAAGCACGAGCTGCTGCAACTTTTTGCTTTTCAGAACATTTCAGTCCAATGTGGTTACATTTCGAGCGATATAGCTCTGAAGATACAAACATTGTCTTACAGTAAATCTTCTTAAAAACATAATTTCAAGTTCTTGTCGAGCTTTTTGACGCTCATCGAAATATATTAGCAAATTTAGAAACTTTTTCTAGAATAGGGAGTGAAATTGTGTTGAGCTACTATGAACTAGTATACTGTTTAAAACTGTATGTTTGTTTTATATAATTAAGGACAATTATCCCAAAACAAGACACATACCAGCAACACGCTCAGGCGTCCAATGTTCTCATTAAATTTTTTTAATTTTTTTTAAACTTTGGATTAACATCAAGCTGCGGTGGCAATCCCAATGTTTGTGTAAGCAATGAAAAAAACTAATGTTGTGAAGTTGAATATTTATGTGATTTATCTTGGAAGCTGCACAAAAGCCGAAACGAAATTATGCAATGCAACTCTTACGAATTATTCTCAAGCTTTATACGTAAATCAACAAGTCAAGCTTTGCTTTTGTACATATGCTTTGCAACATGTTCATCCTTGAATATTGAATTTCTAGATGCTGCACTACAAAGCAGCTTTAGGAATAATCAACGGGGACGAAGTGGTTCCTCATTCTCTTCCGTACATGGTATGAAAAATTAAATTATTTCTTTCTTTTATTCAATATTTAACATTTTTTAGGCCGCTCTACAGACAGAAATTAATGGACGTACAATTCGTTGCGGCGGGTCTTTGATCGAAGTCAATAAAGTCCTTACTGCAGCATCATGCGTATATGGGTATAAATGCTTAGAACCTTTTAGAAATATTTATAAAATATGCAGAGTTTTTTTATGTTTTATAACTATTGATCTTTGCCATCCTAGTTAGTTAAAAGTTAGGRAAAATCGATGGTCTTAAGCARTAATTGATATTATAAAAATAGTATCAAGCAGCACCTAAACTAAAATCATTGATGATTTCACAAAAACACAAGAGAAAGAAGTTTAGACATACAGARWAACCGAAAAAYAGAAAACCGCGCATCTTCAGAGGCTCTCTCTTTGAGGCATCAGAATTGAAAATGTTTTAATTTCATACCTTCAAAGCAACTCGTTTTATTTGTTTTTTTAAATTAAAATCCCCGAAATTATTCAGAAGCTTACATAAGCTGTAAGTACTTACCTGATAAAGCACGCTAAGGAAATAATTTAAATTAAAAATAAATTGAAACGCTTTCTTTAGGAACGAATGGAATAAACTAGCCTATACGGGTGGCCATTTTCTGAATCTTTGTATGGGTAACTTCTACATTTTTAAAGATAGAGAATCCGTTAAATGGGCAGAATTCGACTGCCTATTCATTACCGTTTTCAATATTTAGGTACCCGACTTGGTTCCTGAAATATCCTGAAAAGGCAAGAAATCCAAACTTTTTAATTATCATATAATTCGTAAACTGCGTAAATTAGAAAAACCGTTAAAATTGTCTTTGGTAGAACTTTTTGCGTTGAATTCAATAAACTAGCACTCGTTGTCATAGTTAACTTGATTTACGAGATACAAAAATAATCTTGTGTTTTTTTGAATGGTAATCATAGTTGGCTGTGGGCCTTTTAAAATCCTTATTTTTTTCTGAATTTAACGATATAACTGTTTGTATGTTTTTCTCCTTTTGTTGCCATAAATCTTCAAAAGAAGATAAAACATGTGTATAAGGCTATGGAAACAAGAACTATATTATCACACAAAGCACAAAACAAAAATTAAATAATTAACAGACACAGTCATGTTTACTGGGCTAATGAAAATCATCATTTAATTGAAAATCGGCGAAATCAACGTGTTTTTTTTGTGCATGTCTGGTGAGGCATTTTTAGTGATAAAATTAATGGTCCATTCTTTTCTAATCACAATTTAAATATGGAAGGATATTTATACTTTTAACCAAAGGAACTTGAAGACATGTTGAATAGTTTTCCGTTAGCATCGTATCGAAAATTGGCATATTTTCAACATGATAGTGCACCTTCACACAACTCACGAGTTGAATGTGAATATGCCAAAAAATGCTTGGACGTAAACGGAAGTCAATTTGAACATTTAATTTAAACGATTCATTATTGTTTTGTGCTTTGTGTGATAATATAGTTCTTATAGCCTACTACACATTTTTTATCTTCTTTTGAAGTTTTACTGCAACAAAAGGAGAAAGACTCAGATTTCATTCAGATCAGACTATGATTACCATTTAAAAAACCATAAGTTTATTTTTTATCTCGTAAATCAAGTTGACTATGATAACGAGTGCTAGTTTATTGGATTCAACGCAAAAAGTTGTACTAAGGGCAGCTTTAACTTTTTTTCTAAGTTAAGCAGTTCACGTAATAAGTGATAATTAAAAAGTGTTCATTTCTTGCCTTTTCAGGATATTTCAGGAACCAAGTCGGGTACGTAAATTTTGAAAACTGTAATGAATAGGCAATCGAATTCTGCCCAATTTTGCCCATTTAACGGATTCTCTATCTTTAAAAATGTAGAAGTTACTTATACAAAGATTCAGAAAATGGCCACCCTTTATATAAGATGCTTATGCCCTTTATATAAGAAGAACAACAAACAAATCGAATACACAAAGGCAGTCACATATCTTGGCATAATAATAGACTCTAAGCTAAACTTCTCTCAACACATAAACAAAAGTATTGAAACAGGAATTCAAACTGCCGCCTACCTACACCCTCTTCTTAATCGCAAAAGCACACTCTCACTATAAAACGAAACTCTAATTTACAAACAAGTGATCAGAGCACAAGTTTGTTACGGGGCACCTGTCATCAGCCAAACATGCAAAACAAACATCAAGAAGCTCCAAACATTCCAAAACAAACTCCTACGTCGAATTTTTCGCGCTCCCTGGTACATTCGAAACATCCAAATCCACAAAAACCTTAAAACGGAAGCGATTCAGGAATTCATTTCGAAACTACACAAAAAGTTCAACACCAAAATCCTCGACCACATAAACCCCCTAATCCAAGAGACTTTTTCCCGAACAATCCCAAAACTCCACTTCAAATTTCCCAATAGTCTAATGGCAGACCCCCCTTGGAAACACCCACCTTAAGTAAAAAAAAAAACCGGCTTAATGAAAAACAAAATTTAGACACATTAAAGATAAATAAGGCCAATTTCCAGGCCAATAAAGCCAGTTTCTTCCAAACTACCCAAAACTTACCTCTTCCTTTTCAGTGGATTTTTTTTTCTCATTTACTAATCTCAGGCAAATAATCCCCTACCTCACCCAGGCTTACTCATAGGTCAGCACTAAAGACTAAAAGCCTTAACTGGCTAAGTCTAAAAA